AAAAACTGGGTGAACAAAAATGTTTCATTCCAATAAATGGTAGACATTCTCTTCACAACTACACTTCAGTACGACGGCTGTGGTGTTGATAAAATAAATGTTATTCCGATAAGATCTGAAACAGCTGTAATTCGTAGTCTGTTTAGAAGCCAAATTATGCATTACAGCTGGTTTAAGCACTTCAAATAAGCATTCATATTCAGTTTCTTATTCTCCTACTGCGTATCGCCATCGGAAGTCAAAATTCCCGTTTGTATTTGCTCTGTGTGAAAGCAAAGATAAGCGGAATTGACTCCTGAGTAGTATCACATGCGTCCGCACGCTGATCGTTGGTGGATTCATCTTCTGAAGGTTATACAGTAAAAAGCCATGCCGTTTCGACCGTCTGGCTTTCACTGTTATCAGTTTATCCTAAAGCAAATGAAAGAATCGTAAAGGAACTGGTTGTCCCTCTGACAGAATTGAACCCTTGGCCTCCAGCATAAATGCAGTTCCTCCTGCCGTTGTGCTTTATCGGCCAGTGTGCAGTATTGTGCTACTGACATAACCAGAAATGCTTCGATGGCTGCTGTAACCAAAACTGCATCTCTGATGCTTACTCCTTATTTCTTAGTGAAATTTGAAGTAAAACTCTGTAGAAGTAGGACTGACTTAGAGGAAAATATTGTCAAAATATTAATAACTAATCCAGCAGGATTTGTTTGAAAGTTTTTATTACATACAAATTTAACCCAGTTTTTTCTCTGGTTTTGAATATTTTCTTAAAAATTGTTTTTTTTTGCAGTTTCTTTTTTCCCTTCAATTCTAGCTTCGATTTCATTTCGAAATTGAAAAAAAAAACAAATATTTTTTGATGAGACTGTAGTGATTGTTCTTTTTTTTTTTGGTTGAATAGCTGTATTTTTTATGAAAAAATTTCAACTTAAAGTGGACTGAGAGACTTGCTAGCTGGAAACCGAAGTTATCCAATTTTTGATATTTTCAGGCACAAATCTGCGTGTGCGCAGCGAAAGGCACAGCGTTTGTGTAACAGATTTGCCAGACATACATGCAACAAATGCTTTGCCTGCACAGCGAAATCACTTATTCATTGATACAAAACTTGCAAATGAGTTATCTCGGAGTTGTCGCGGTAAACAACGGCATGCAACAGTGAGCGCCACGGATTCGAAATCCACCATGTGGAACCCACCGGTTCATTTTTCGCATGCACTTCATTTAGAAGGTGGTCGCTGCTAAACACTCTTTGTAATGTTGAAGCGATTTTACAAAATTGAAAAAAAATGTTGAGAAATGTAGAATTCGAAAAGTTCTTTTTAGTTTTTTGCAAAAATTAATCAAGAATACTGTATGAGGAATTATTCGAATCGTTTGAAGAATTCTGTGAGACAGAAGGTTTGTCTGAAAACAACGATAATTATGTTTTGATTTTGACGACCTTGAAGTACAGTGTGTCACAGAAGTTTTTCACTTAGTCTAATGAAGTAAACGTAAGTATCTTACGTAACTGAAGTTAGACATCTTGTATACTTGAAGTTTAGAGTATTACTGCTTCGATGCTGGAGATGTGAGTTGGATTCTGCCGCTGGACAACTAATCTGTCTTCGATCCGTTTTGATGATAAATTCTTTTTTGCATGTATCAGGGAGTCAGTCTTGCTGTTAGTTTGTCACCGAATGATTTTACCGAGGAAAGGGGGGAGATAGAAGGTTGAAAACTTGTTGGTTGATGATTGCTACTGGAGATTGTTATTAAATGGGCCACTTTAGAGTACTTTTCCCCGTAGGGAGTAAACTTGGAGAGAACTGTTGGATCACTGTTGTGTTTCTTTGGGCTTTCCTCAGTGCTACTGATGGCGTTTTCTGTTTATTTCATCTGAAACTTCTCGCATCCACTTCGCTTCATGTAAAGATATAGTCGAATTCCTCCGCCCCCTCTCCCCTCCCCCTCGTTCCTTCCTCCTTAGTAGTTTCCTCAGTGTTCGTATGATACTATGAAAGCAACTGACACTAACACTGCACTTTGTCCAGTATGAAACTTACTGTATTCGGCCCAGGGATCAATAGAAGAGGTGAGTTGGAAGGTGCGGCTGGATTTGACTTTACATTTCATGGTGAGAGATTTTTCCATTGAACAGCTGTTTCCTTCACGCGGCCTCTCATCATAAATCGAATTTGACACTTATGTTGGGTTTTTTACGGGGACACAGTTGGTACAATTTTGTGGGTTGGGAGACACTTCTCCTCCTCTCGCCCCCCTCTCCCGTCCTCAAAGAATCTTTAATTTTTACATTGTGCATTCGAGCATTCACTACAGTTTTTAGTACGCTAAAATTTTTGAACAGTATGCACTTGTTTGAGATGATTTAAAACGTTTGAAAAGGTTTGAGCAAACTTTCGGAATTGTGAATGACAACCATTACAGTGTCAGTGCAGTCCGTTTCAGTTCACTGCCAGTGGAAGCCTCGCCGAAAAAATTAACTCGCCTCTTTGTAAGTTCTCTCTTTTCTTCCGTTTTGCTCATACGACACTTTTTTTTTTCGTAGGGCATTGAGCCTGGCGAAAATGAGCGCTTTTCAGAAGGAATACAATTCGGTATTTACCGACTTTGAATTCATTACAGTTTATCAGCGCCAGTGTTACTAATCT